CTAGTTGAAACTCTTCTACTTCAGAATCTTCAAGTGACAGTAATTTAGGCACCCACAAGTACAACTAAGTCTTTGATATTATCTTCAAAAGGATACCACAAGATTATAGATACTGAAAGGCCCTTCTGAGCCTACAATCTTTTGTTCTTCCAACTATTCTACTCTCAGATTTACAATGAATATGTTCAATATAGCCATGGGACCAGGAATTTCTTCATAACCTTAATTTTTTTCAGGTTGTCATGCCTTATCCTATTCATTGTCTTCAATATTAGTCATTTCTGCAAATCACTCTGACCCCAGTTTAATCAGGCTAACCCTTCACTATTGCTTATTCCTATTGTCTCTCTCTCTGATTTTGTCCTTGAGCTTAGAAATATTACTAAAGAAATGAAGTCATGTGAAGAAATACAGTTAAATCTGAAGTGAGCTTTTCTTAGTGTTTTACAAAACTTTCAGCCATTAAATCAACTACATTTGAATTTTTACAGCCATTATCCCAGTCTTTGCTTTCAAAGGCCCAACCTCATCATAATCTTGGCCATTCAAGTAGATAATTATCTTCTAACTTCACTGTAAATACTCCTAAACTTACCTCCTTCCACTAATGGATCAGGGTCATTACCTTTTCCTCCTTTGTTATTATATTGAAGAGAGCTTCTTGATTTGCAAATAATAGAACCTTCTTACACTTTCTCACATGGATGACAGAACAAGCTCTCTGGGTGTCTTTTCTTTAAAGGCACTAACTCCACCCTCAATACCTTATGGAGACCTAATTACATCTCAAAAGCCCCAACACATAATACCATTACAATGGAATAATATCCTTGAGTACACAACCATTTAGTCTCTTCATAACAAGACCAGACAGGCTCATCAAACTGCTCCAAGGCAACCTGTTCCTCCCACTGATCAGCTGCCTAGGTTTTCACTTCTCATAGCACAGGCAGAATTATCTCATACATCTACTTTGGAGAAGCAATTAAAACATCTACAGTTTAATCCAAAAAGGGACACTGAAAACTGATGGTGGCCCTCCCTGGTGGCACAACGGGTTAAAGCTCAGCAGTGCAAAGCTGGCTGTAGCCGCTTCAGTTTAAGTTCTATCCCCGGCCCAGGAGGTGACCCACATGGCATAGCAGACCTCTCCTGTCTCTCCTGCTGCTCCCCACAGCAGTGTACTTCATGGATCAGCCTATTCTGCTCCCCATTCTGTTTCTGGTGAATCCTCTCACAGCCCATGCTCCTCTGGCCAGTACTCTAGTTCTGTATGCATAACTAATTAAATACATTTAAAAAAAGAAAGAAAGAAAGAAAGAAAACTGATGGTGAAGTGAGTTGCTCAGAGAATTACTCCAGAGAAGTTCAATCCCAGGAGGCAAGCAAATTCAGAGAACATGGAGTGGAATACACTGGTAATCCACTACTTACATATTTCAACACAACACATCTTTTGCTTCTTAGAGGAGAAATGGAGGTGCTCCCTTCTGGTGTAAGATCTTTTCTTTCCAGAACTGTATCAGAAAAGCTCAACTGTGCCCAAACCACCAAAGGAGCATCATGAATGCAGTCTCCTTTACAATATGAGTGGTGCTGCTGGAATTGTCACCATTTGGCAATTCATGAATTTCGGGGAGGGGGGTGAGGTGTAGATGCCAACTCTCTATCCTAAAATAAACATTGAATTAACCTATTCAACAGTCTGTCCTCTCACCTTACCTCCCTCCTCTCACCCCGGGTAAAATATGGTAGTGATTTCTCTGCCATCATTAAACACTGGAACAAGACCAAAATCCTTCCACGTACTCATAGATGAAGGAATATTTTTAAAGGAGATGAATATCAGAGCTGAATGAAATGTGCAAACTCCAATTAAAGAGAAATAAGAAAAATAAAACCGAGGTTGTAATTCTACCCTTAACTCTTCCACGGGGCCAGGGGCGCCCGTGGTCAGGGATTGCCTCCTGGGATTGAAGTGAAGATTACTTAAGCAATACAAAGATGTGGCACTTTCACAGGGGTCTAAGGTGTCTGACCCTCTGTGCTCCATA